GGGCACAGGAAGCGGGGCGCAGCCGCGGGGGTCCCCGGCGGGGCCTTCGGAGCGGGAGGAGCCGTCCCCGAGCGCTCCGTGCGCCGCCCCGAGGAGTCCAGGTGCCAGGAGTCCACTGGCCCTGGTGCTGCCCCATTAGGAGCCATCACGTTGTTTAAAGCGAGATGCTGTTCTCCCTTCCAGGGAAAGCGGAGAAGAAAAAATGGAAGGAAATGAAGCTCCTGAAGAAACTGGAAAAACAGCGGATGCGGGAGCTGGCAGAAAAACAAGCCGAGAAGCAGGAGGAGCAGAAGGAAGACAAAGGTGATGCTGCTGTAACCCGATGGGGAGGTCTGGGTGGAAAGAGCTGGGAGAACTTGGTCGTTAAAAGTCAGTCAGTTTTATGTATTAATAGGGAAAGTGATGCTCAGCTTCATAGATCTGATATAGATCAGGTATAAACAGGCGTGAACATGATGCAGCGAGCACTACACGAGACACCTTTATTAAGAGAAAACCTGTGGTTAAAAACCTAAGAAGTACAGGTTGCTTTTTCCCCCCACCATAACTGCAGTTGAAGTAGTAAATAAATGCTGTCATGCTGTGGCCCTCTTCTGATCGCGCTCTGTTCCCCAGGGCGTCACTACACGCTGAGCGTAGCCCTGCCAGGCTCTATCTTGAACAACGCCCAGTCGCTGGAGCTGCGAACGTACCTTGCTGGACAGATTGCTCGGGCCTGTGCCATCTTCTGTGTGGATGAGATCGTAGTGTTTGACGAGCATGGAGAAGATGTAAAGTAAGGAGCAGCCGTCTTATTCTGCAGAAAGCATTGCCTCTCTGCTTTCTATTTCTTGAGTCTTTTATTAAGCTAAGACCAGCAAAGAACTGCACGTACATCAAGCAAATGTTTGAACCTCTCTCAACTGCCAGGATTACAGGGGCACTTACACCACGGGGCAAAGATTGACTTAACTGCCCTGGCAACTAGGATCATTTATCCCAGCATGGAGATGACAAAGCAGCAGGAGGTCAAGTTCTCCTGTATTCTTAAGTCTTGCTGTGGAGGGACAGGGCATCCCTCTGTCCTTAGGGAAGATGAATTCCAATCCTTCAGCTTTTCAACCTGGACCTGCATCTGCATTAACTGGCCAAGCCGTGCAGCCCTGTAGCGTCCAGCTCAGTAGCATCCAACTGCCAGGTTGTGTCAATACACAAAGATCAAAAACAAAACTCAAAAAGATACTTGGCTTACAGAGAGTTCCAGATATGATTTTTTTGCACAGTCTCTACATCCGGCGTAGCCTTTTATAAGGTGGCCCATTTATTTCTTGGGGGTGGATGGGGGGCTGCTGCTATTTTCAGATTAAAGAACAAGGCTTGGTCTTCTAGAGACTTGACCATTTGGGGCTGTGCAGTCTATGCTGAGTTCACAGGCTGCTGGCTTTCTATTTCAGGACTGTGGAGGGAGACTTTGAAGGAATTGGGAGGAAAGGCAAGGCTTGCGTGCAGCTGGCTCGGATCCTGCAGTACTTGGAGTGCCCTCAGTAAGTCCACCATGGTCAGACTGCATCAGAACGGACTACCGCGAGTATCACATGCCAGAGGCTATGGGAGCAGGAGCCAAACTCAATGTTTATGTTGCATGATTATGCAGGATCTGATTGTTTCACGTCTGGTTCAGGAGTTTTAACTGATAGAACAGCAGTGAATGCTGGATACAACCTGCGTGCTACCATTAGAGGTAGATCAGGGACTTGGAGGAGCTCCTTTGAGCTAGAATTGAGGCTTGGATTCCATAGAAACAACTGCTTTCACATTTCAGCCTTCTTTCATAACAGGTACTTGAGGAAATCCTTTTTTCCAAAACATGAGGATCTGCAGTTTGCAGGTAATGATTCAGTTGTGTCTATCTCACGCTGTTGGCTCCCCCTTCCTGAGCTCTGCCTCTTGCTTTGTGTGGAATTTGCACATAATTGAGTAATTTTCTCCACTTCAGAGTGCAGGTGAGGTGCTGTGCTGCATTATGCTGGACCAGGAAGGAGGGTGCAGCAGAGTAGTTGTACTTACACCTGTGTTCCCACAGTTTGTGTCCTCTCCTTAGCAGTTGCTTTCCTCTATGCTGTTCTAGGGCTCCTCAACCCCCTGGACAGCCCTCACCACATGCGGGTGGATGAGGAATCACAGTACCGAGAAGGCATAGTGTTGGACCGGCCAACTAAGCCAGGCAAAGGCTCTTTTGTTAACTGCGGGATGAGGAAGGTATACCTGTCTGTTACCCACAGATCCAAAACCAATTTCCCCTGTCTCTCTGGTGGATTTGAAGCAGGCAGGGTGGGTACTGCTGGGTTCCTGAAGGCCATAGTGGGCTAGCATGGGGTTTAATGCTGTTGCTATCTTGTCCCTTCTGGCTCGTTAATGGTTGTAGCTTCCCGAGCCCTGGCAGGCCTGCCCATTCCAGCATGTCATTGCTTCACTGCTGGAGTTGAGCCTTTGAGCAGCAAAATAAGTCTCAGACTGCTGACCCAAGCCACCCTGAGCCTACTCTGCACTGTATGCACCACACAGGCCCTGATTGCAGAGCTCCTCATTCCAGCTGCAGGCCAGAACAGACCCCCACTTCCTCAGAGCATTCCCTTCTTTCCCCACCTTCTCCAGTACTTCCAGAATGTCTGATGCTGACGGTGACTTTCACTGCAGGAGGTGCAGATCGACAGACAGCTGAACGCCGGTCTGCGAGTTACTGTGCGCCTGGAGGAGCCCCAGAAGCCAGGTAATCCACTGCTCCATTAGCATCAGTAAACTTCAGTCCCGCAGGAGTTGGTCCTTCCATGTAACAGCCTTCAGATTACTAATTTTTGAAGGTACCGAACAGCTCTGCATGTTCCCTTCACTCCACGTGCAATTTTAGTAACTCCCTTACCATACCTCCGTAGTTAACTGGAAAAAACTAACAGCTCTTTGACCAGTAATAAACAGCCCAAACGTACTAGCACACTTTCCAGAATGCACTCAAAAGGGAGGTTCTTGGTTGTACACCAAGTCAGTGCACTGCCCCAGGAGAAACTGCTGCATGTGGCTGGTGAAACCGAGCTCGCACTAGGAGATCACAGGGGTTGTTAATTTCTTTCTTCCCTTTCAGAAGCTAAAGTGCGAAAAGGTACAGTGGTGTCCTCTCACCACCCTCGGACAGTCTCAGGCTTGTACTGGGGTTACAGCGTCCGCCTTGCCTCCTGCCTGAGTAAGTATTTGCAGGGGTTCTCTGCTCTCTGCCATGTCTTTGCCTGGGCTTCCACACCAATTTCAGGCCTATCGGCTGCACATCTGCAGCACACATTAACATCTCTTTCTTGTAAATCTCTTTTGTCTCAAAGGCAGCTTACCTGTGCAGCTAGCAGCCATGAGGCAACTACATTTAAGGATGAAAGCTAGGGGTGTGAATCACCCCAGTAACCCACTGCTACTCTGCCCTATACTTCCACTCACCATTGTGCCAAACATCCACGTTGCAGGAGATGCGTTGGTGCTCTCCATCTCCAGCCGGAACATCTTCATTTCCATGATAACTATCTCCTGCTCATTCACATCAAAGCCAGCAGTGACGTTTAAGCTTAAGAGTCCTGCAAAATCCTTTTCTTGTCTTCTGACTGATTTGACCTGCTTGGAGAATCCTAAGCCGTTCGTCAAGGAATGGCTCCTGGCCCCTGTTTGAGCTTTGAGGAAAAGGTGCTGCAGTTGACAAGGGTGCAGTACAGGAATTATAGAGGAAGGAGGAATCATTCTTCTGTCTCCTGATGCACTAGTGGCACTGAAAAGCAATTCCTTCTCCTGCTGCCACTCACCCGTGGAGTGTTTCAGCCTGTCCAGAAGGCACGCAGCATGGGCGAGGGTACCATGTGAATAACTCCGTATTCTGTTTGTTTCCCAGGTGCTGTCTTTTCAGAGTGCCCTTTCAAGGAAGGCTACGATCTCTCTATTGGGACCTCAGAGCGGGGCAGCTCCGTGGACCAGGCCACTCTCCCCTCCTTCAGGTTCGTGTCCTGCCTGCTTGGCCCCACTCAGAGCCCCCAGGGAGGCCTGGTGCAGACAGCAGAGCTGCACTGTGGCCTTGGTGTTCTCCCAGGCAGAAATGCTCCTAGGTAAAAGTGCAGGACTTACCTGCAGGCTCCCTCCTGCGCTCTGCTGCTCCCTTTTGCACCAAGGCACATTACTCTGCATGACAGAAGCTGGGGGAAGTACCGCAGGACAAGAGCAATTCCTTTCCTGTTTCTCTGGAGTGGGTCCTCCCCATTCGGTTGGTAGTAGGGACTGTCACTTTGGCCAAGTGCTAGGGGGCTTTGTTAGGGAGGCAGCTGCACTGGGCATTGTCAGCAAGGGACACAGCTCCCCACTTCAGCAGGCAGAGGAGCTTGAACACAGCTCCAGATACCTGAACAAGAGCAATGAGTCTGCTTCTTGGAGATAAAGTTAAGAAAACTGTTTATGTGAAGCCAGTTCTTAATCCACTTGAAGGTTCAAGCCACATGAGCAGCTCTCCTGTCTAAAGCTTGTAGCATCTGCCTCAGTACAGGTGTAAGAGCCAGTCTCCCCTCTCACCCTGTCCCTGTGCTTTCCCCTAGGCATGCCCTTGTCGTGTTTGGAGGTCTTGAGGGCTTGGAAGCTGGGGTTGATGTAGACCCAAACCTGGAGGTCACTGACCCAAGTGTCTTGTTTGACTTCTACCTGAACACTTGTCCCAGCCAAGGCAGCAGAACCATCCGGACAGAGGTACGGCAGGTGGCTAATGGTGCGGTGGGGTGTGACACCTGTGTGCACAGAGCAGTGCTGCATTTCTGCCTCTGGTAGTGACACATATGGCCTATGTGTCATTCCCTACGGTGACACCTCAGCACAGAGCGGCTAGGTTGCCTGGTGCTCCTCAGAGCAGCAGTTCTGACTGCCGTCTGGGTCTGTTCCAGGAAGCACTGCTGATCTCTCTCTCTGCGCTGAGACCCCACATCGATGAGGCTGTGAAGACACCCAGTGACGGGTGAGGGAAGGAAAACCACTGACCTTGCCATCAGATGAGGACTGCTACGGGGACGCTGCTGTTCAAACGTGGAGTGCTGGGCAAATCACTTCAAGAGCCTGGCGGGGGCCAAGACACAGTGTGACTAAAGCTGGCAGCGCTGCTTGCCCGTGTCTGGCTGCTGTTGTGAGCAGCAAGTCTGCGCCCTCCTGCCTGCGTGGTCCAGCCAAGGGCTGCCTCTCAGCAGCTGGGACAAGCCTGGCAGCAGACCGGGTCTTGGGAATTCAGACATCTGGGGTGAGGAATAAAGCAGCATGGAACCTCAGTTGCCTTGAAGTCCATGTGCAAGTGTCTTAGTGTGGAAGATGGGCACTCAGTGTCCAGAGGTCTTGCGTGCTCTGTGCCTCTGGAGCCGTGAGACTTAAAGGAAGTCAAAACTTGATCCTTATGCCAAGAAGCTCTTCCTGTCTCAGCCTGACTTCCCCCAGCCCCCCTTCAACTCCAAGGCTTCTTCCTTCCCAACAGCAGGAAGAGCTGGAGCTTCAATTGGGCCTTAGTGCTAAGCATAGCTCGTTACAGTTTGGCTCCCATCTACGATGCCTTAAGCTCTGCCTACAGTGAGCTCAAACAGGAAAGCAGCTGGAAAAGTTGGCTCTGTCCTCCCCCCTCCTGCTGAGATATTCAGGGCTTTGGTAAGAGCAGATAAGAAACAACAAATACTGTAGGTGTTCAAAGCTTTACTGCTAAAACCATCTTCTGAAAGAAAACAATCATACAATTCTTTGGCCACAGAAAGTCAGGAACCTCTCCTCCCCCTGCACCCATCTTGCTCCTGTCCTTCCCTGCTGAATAGCAGCAATTAAGTAACTTTCCTTTGTTCCTTGTCTTAATGAGCCACAAACATCTGTACTGCTGATTAGGGGCAAATTCTAGAGACCTGCTACAATGTCAAGGCAGACTTCTGCCCTGGACACCTGCTGCGTGTGCGTGTTTCACTGTTACACAAAATGAGGGGAAGGGTAAAAAGAAGCATTGGTTTGATTCTTATTTCCCACTTTTAAAATTGCACAAGGAACAGGCGACTGCTGTCAGTCCCTTCCCAGGGGATACCTGGATTTGGGGGTTCAACGCTTGTTTCCAGCTGTGATGGCTTTCAAGTTACTTGTTCTCTTCAAGATGTTTGGGACAAAGAGGAGCCCTGAGGCTCGCTCAATGCTCTCGATGGGAACCAGGAACCGTTCCAGGGGAATTTTCTCGTCCACAGGGCTGTTGGGCATCACATACGATCGCAACTCGATCTCCCCGCTCTCCTTTTCCAGGATGAGCACCTTGAAGAAATGGGTGGGGACAGCCACGTTGTTCTTCCCGATCACCTGGTATTTGACGTACATCTTCCCATCAGCCTCCATCCTGCACCAACAGCAATGTCCCATGTTACCTCCTAATCTGATGCCACATCCGTCCCCTCAGCGCTCCCACCACCACCCCTAAGTAAGCCCCACCCCACAGCATGGCAAGGAGCAGCCCTACTTCTGTAGTAGGGGTGTAAAAAGGGTGCTGAAACAGAGGCTACATGACATGGTGTGGCTGAGCTGTGTACTCAGTCTGCCCCGCTCAGATCCCTTCCCCGCTGTCCTCTTGAACAGCTTTTCTAACAGCTATTCCCTGCTGCTGAAGAGATCTCAACATGAGACAGCTGCTCTTTAGCAAGCACTACATGAGACCTTTGCAAATAAAGTCTTGCTTTTAAGTGGAGAAATAGTCCATGAAATGAAACCTAGAAGCTTTATTCTGCAGGGAAGGGGGCTGTAGTCTCATCTGTTAATCTAATAATCTAGTAATTTACTACTACTAGATCGTTAAGGACTGCAAACAAAAGTGATTTGGTTATGCTGTAGCTCAAGAAACACACCTTTACTCACAAAATAATCAACTGAATGGGAAATACACAAACTAAGCTTAATCCTGAGAAAGTACCTTTGCACAGAACCTCCGCACAGAGCTGGCCTCACCTGCTGAGCAGGCCCTTAGCAGATCACTCGCCTTTGGGAGCAGCTGGGAGGCTGCACCCCCTCCGCCTGCTTTCCTTTCCCAGCACGATGCAGCTTTCGAGCGTGGTGCCAGCTTGGCCCTCCTGTTTACCTGGGCAGGTAAAGGGGTCCTGTGCAGACATAGACGTTCTTGTTGTTCCTTGCCAAACTTCTGCTGTACTTCTCAAGGTTATTCCAGGCATGCTGGTTTAAATGAGGAACCTAGAAACACAACGGCAACACAGGCAGCAAAGTCAGTGGGGAATTTCCTCACTGTTCAGAATAACACCCGCCTTTTCTGTAACACGTCTCACAGCGTCCTGGGCACCTTCCGGAAGAGATCTCAACTATCACCTTCACTCCACACGCTGTGCGTGTTCCTCCCACTCTGGAGACATTCAAAACCCGCCTGGACGCTGTCCTGTGTAACGTGCTGTAGGTGACCCTGCTCTGGCAGGAGGGTTGGACTAGATGATCTCCAGAGGTCCCTTCCAACCCTAACAATTCTGTGAATTCTGTGCGCGGTGAGGTCCTGGTTTGCACACCCAGGAACAGAACCCACTTGCCTCAGCCCACGATTTTTACAGGAATCTGTCAGCCTGTTTAACTTTGTTCCTGCAACGCGCTGTGCTGAACAGCTTGAGAGGAGCGCACAGGCAGGTGTGTTTGCAGGATCGCTGTAATGTTGCGGGAAATAACAGCACCACTGAGTGACTTTAGACCCTCTCTGCCTGAACTACTATAGGGACAAACTTTTTACATGGGCATGTACTGATAGGATGAGGGGTAATGGCTTCAAACTGGAAGAGGAGAGATTTAGATTGGGTATCCTGTGCGGGTGGTGAGCCCCTGGGGCAGGTTGCCCCGAGAAGCTGTGGCTGCCCCATCCCTGGAGGTGTTCAAGGCCAGGTTGGACGGGGCTTGGAGCGACCTGGGCTGGGGGGAGGTGTCCCTGCCCAGGGCAGGGGGTGGCACTGGATGGTCTTTAAGGTCTCTTCCAACCCAAACCATTACATGATTCTATGATATACACACGGGAAAGCCCAAGAGGCTCCGAGGTGGTTTCCAGCGGGGAGCGGCGTCTGCCCTTGAACACGGGCAGCTCCGCCCTCCCCGCTCCGACCGGGGGCAGCCTCCCCGGGGCTGCGGGGAGCCGGTGCCCGCGGCGGGTCCTACCTGCGGGGCGACGTTGCTGAGGTAGAAGGTGTCCTTCATGGCTTTCTGGCTCCACTTGTGGTTGGCGGCGGCGGCCAGGTGCCCGCGGTCGAAGCCGC